ATTGTTGTTCTTGACGATGGCGAGCGGATTGACGTCCAGCACTCTGGGCAGTCGGGTGCTCACCCGGATCGAAGTGTCGTTCCAAACCAGGATGTCCGTCGACGTTCTCGGATCCTTGGAGACTTTTCAGGACCTTTGTCGCCTTCCTCGGGCAAGATGGACGATGACGAGGAGATGTTGGAGCAGCTTAAACTTCAGATAGCTTCTTCCCTCCCTCCGGGATCAACGGTGTCTGTTTCCAACTCGGTATCCACGGTTCAGACCATCACAGTTGATGTGGAAGGTCCGGAACCGGTTATGCTCCCTACACCGCCAGGCGCTGAGATCGTGGAAGCAACTAGTTTCCGGCCCTCCAGTCGTCTCTCCTGGGCATCACAGGACCAAGACTCGGAGCACTCCTTTAGAGTTGTGTACCAAATTAAGAGGGAGAAACTTCAAGATAGCAAGTTTCATACGCACGAAGAGGGGTTGCCCGTACCACAAGTCGAGGAATTGGATGACGAGGGAGCGAGGGTAAAGCTTGATGGGCGTGAGGAGGAAAAAGAACTCCCTTCTATCAAATATTCCAGCCCTCTCCAATCCCCCTCTCACCCCCGACGACAGTCTCAATCTTCCCAGTCTGTTGAAGGTGATTGCCAGCCTGGTAGTGAGGTGGGATCGCCACCGCCTGCTCGCGTGAAAGCTGAGAGGCCATCGCGCCGGATGTCTACATCCAGACCCAATCCTGCTCTTTCTGAGAAATTACCAAACCCACCTACACCGCCGAAAAAGATTGCTGAGAATGCCGCAAATCAAAAGAGGCCTCGAGCACCACCAGAGACAACCTCAACCCGAAGCTCCATTGCCAAGCCGAAACAAGAATCACCACCATCCGGGCGGCGACCACAAATTACCAAGCGCACAAGCTCTTCTCAAGAATCGAGATCATCAGATAAGAAGGGTAGTCTGAGAGATGTCATCAAGGGTAGCGGGCAGAGTATCTCGAACATTTGGAATAGAGAATCTTCAGGATCAGAAACTGGTGGCTCGTCGAGCAAGTTGAAACCGCAATGGAGGATATCAAGCGGCAGCGGAAAGCTGAATGCAAAGCTGAAGCCAGCGGCATCCATACGCTCGACCAAGCCTGATGATCGTCGCCCAGCGTCTCGATCTCAACTATATCCGGACCCGGAGACGATTCCTCGGAGTTCTTCCAGAGCAAGCTGCGTCTCCATCCAGGAACATCGACGGAATTCAATCATCTCGCAAGCGGATGCATTTTCAATCCGCGCGAACGGTGAGATGCGCGCGGCGTCACCAACGTTCTTCCGCACTGAAGTATCGACCCATGATACTGTCAGCCGGCCAGCTTCAAGTTACCTGAACCCTGGACAAACTTCTCAAACATCGCCAAAACGGGGTCATCATGAGAAAAACCGCCACAGCCTCTATAGTCTGGGAACGAATGATTCCCAAATGTCGGTGGTTCTGTCTTCGTATTACCAAAAGAGCGCTTACCGTACCTCAAATGCACTCAGTAGCCTTCGCCAAGCAGGGTTTGTCGAGGGTACATTCCCGGTCGCCCCTCTGCTGCAGAACATATCCCGATATATGCGGTTTGCGTCTGCCTCGTACGGCTCGCAGTTCCTCAAGCTTCTCGGGATCTCGAACGATCTTCCCGCTATTTCGAAGGGGGATGAAACACACCATGATGTTCGCCATTTCCTTCATCACACAGAGTCCGACATGGGTAGCATCCTGCTGGCCTCTTTCGTGGACCACGGGGGTGGTAGTAATTCGAGTGGATTCACGGATACGGGCGTTCCGCTAGTACACTACATATCCCTCGACCACAATGCGAAGGCTGTGGTTCTTGCTTGCCGCGGAACTTTGGGGTTCGAGGACGTCTTGGCCGACTTGACCTGTGAGTACGATCGTCTTGAATGGAGAGGCCGTGGCTACAAAGTCCATAAAGGAATCCATGCCTCAGCCCAAAGGATTCTGTACGGCGGGGACGGACGGGTCCTCCTCACACTTCAAGAGGCTCTGCGTGAGTTTCCAGATTATGGACTGGTCCTCTGCGGCCACTCTCTGGGTGGTTCGGTCACCTCTCTCCTTGGGATCATGATGGCGGAGCCCAATCCAGATGGACCCGGGTTCGTCACAACTTCAGAAACACAAAGTAGCGCGCAATCTGGAGCATGGCCAGAACGAAGTGCCAATCTTCAGGGCGCGAGCTTACCACCCGGGCGGCCGATTCATGTTTTCGCATACGGCCCTCCCGGTGCCATGTCAGTTGCGCTCAGCAAGAACAGCCGCGGCCTGATTACAACCGTGGTACATGGGAACGACATCGTCCCCTACCTCTCGCTGGGCACGCTCCACGACTTCCAAGCTCTGGCCCTTTCGTTCAAGAAGGACGAGAATCGCGTCAAGGCCGAGATTCGCCAGCGGATGTGGGCCGCATTCCAGTACAACGTCGCTGGTAAGTTGTACGTCCCCACGGCGCCGCCTCTCGCGGTCGGCGAAGAGCCATGGATGCTGCCCACGCTCGAGTCTATGCGGGCCAACATGGACTGCGAGAAGCTGATCCCGCCTGGCGAGGTGTTTTGCATCGAGTCGCAGCGGGTTCTGCGGCGGGATGCGTTTTTGGTGTCGGACGAGGAGCGTATTGGCCGGCCTGCTCAGCGGGTCGTCCTGAAGTATATTAAAGACGTGCCGGCGAGGTTCCGCGAGATGAGGTTTGGGACGAGCATGTTGATGGATCACTCTCCTGCCAAGTATGAAGACGCTCTACAGAAACTTCGACTGGGTGTTGCGCTTTGAAGATAAAATACGACTCACGTCTTTACAAGCTCTCTAGATTTTGATATGTATATAGAAAATAATGTAAGTCCAAAGTATTCCATAGTTTTTATTAACATTGTGAATCAGACTGTCCAGGACAAGGAACCCCCACCTAGTCCCAGTGTCAATTATTCATTCTCTTTCATTTCTTAATCAGAAGTAGTCGTGATAATATCGCCCTTGTCATCGTAGAAAATCTCCTTGACCTTGACAGACCGCAGATGATCCACGCCCTTGCTCAGCTCGCAGTCATGGTAGAACAGGTACGTCCTCCCCTCCACCTCGGCGATGGAGTGGTGCGTCGTCCACCCCAGCACGGGCTCCAGGATCCTGCCGCCGTAGGTGAAGGGGCCCAGCGGGCTTTTTCCTCTTGCGAAGCAGAGGAAGTGCGTGTCGCCGGTCGAGTAGGAGAAGTAGTACTCGCCCCCGCGCTTGTGCAGCCACGCGGCCTCGAAGAACCTGCGAGCGTGGTCGTCGGCGGGGATGGGCTCGCCCGTCTCTGGGGCGAGGATGGTGATCTCCTTGACATCCCCGTCGAACTGGTGCATGTCGTCCGTGAGCTTCGCCACGCGCGGTCCCTGTGCTGCCTCGCTCGGGCCTGAGCGCTCGCCGCGCTTCTGCCAGGAGGCGTCGTACGAGCTTGCCGTGGCTCCCTGGTAGCACTGGAGCTGGCCGCCCCAGATGCCGCCGAAGTAGAGGTAGGCCTGGCCGTCGTCGTCGACGAATGCGGCCGGGTCGATGCTGTAGGAACCGCTGATGGGCTCCGGGTCCGGGGTGAAGGGTCCCTCGGGGCTGTCCCCCTCTGCGACGCCGATGCGGAAGACGCCGTCCTTGTCGCGGGCGGGGAAGTAGAGGTAGTACTTCCCGTTCTTGGAGGCGGCGTCGGGGGCCCAGAGCTGCTTGGAGACCCAGGGGATGTCCTCGGCGCGGAGGACGACGCCGTGGTCTGTCACGGGGCCCGGGGAGGGGTGGAGGGAGGGGACGGAGAAGACGTGGTAGTCGGCCATGTCGTACTGGTCGCCATTGTCGTTGTTCTCTGTGCCGGTGTCGCGGTCGTGGGATGGGTAGATGTAGACACGGCCGTTGAAGACGTGGGCCGAGGGGTCGGCCGTGAAGGTGCTGGTGATGAGAGGAGGCATAATGAGGATTTGATGATGGGATTATCGCCTGGCCGGTTGAGGGAATGTATGATTGACGTCCAGCTTGTCAACTTGAAGGAGCGTGAGGCTTCCAAGAGAACTATATAAACTCCATCTTTATCCGCAACCGCCATTCATCCGCGCCCCTCCTCTCATGATTGTGAAGGCGGGCGGCCCGTGATCGCGATAGAGCCCACTTTGCTCTTGGGAGGAGACAGAAGATGGAGACTTCAGCCATTTATCCAGCCACAGTCCACGCCATTTTAACCGGTTTTACCCTGCCTGCCAGACCACTCATAGGCACTTAAAGTATTGCCGTATTGGGCACTGAGCAATTGATGAGAATGGATATTTCGATGAGGCATCCCGAAGCATTATGATGATGCCAATTGAAGAGCTTGGCACTTGAGGGATCCCTCCACTTCATTTCGGTAGGGGCCCAATGAGGGCGCAGCATCTCACCTCCGCCACGAGGCCTCCTTGATACCTGGTGACGATAGCCTTCAGGACATCCCGGTGGTTGCTGAGTTGTCCGACATTTGATACTGTACAATACTGGACGATTGGTTGAGGGCTGCTGGACGGTCGACGGGTTGGAATTTAGGCATGCTACGGTAACAACGGCGCTCTGATTCCCCTGCAGCTGAGTGAGACGAGCACCTCAAGTGATGTTGTAAACTGAGGAATCGGAGATCCTCTTGCAGCTCGGGTCATATGTCCAGTGTCAGCAATGACGATTTGCAGGGCCGTCAGCGTCAGTTAGTGTGGCTTGGCCTGCAGTCGTAATAAAGAGGAACCTAATCAAATCAATTGAACAAGGGACCTGGCATGGAGCTTAAAAACAAGCTTCTCCACCTCTGGATCTCCTCTGCGATAGCATGATACCAGCTTGCTCAGTTCATTGAGTCTGATACTAAGTAGACAATGGAAGGAGCCCGGCCTGTGTTGTCGTGCGCTTCGTGCCGCCAGCGAAAGTGAGACTTCTATATACCAGTTGAGCCACATTCAATCTCATGCTGACGGGCAATCTGCAGACTGAAATGCGATCGGAACAAGCCCTGCGGCAACTGTGTGGCGCGGAGTACCGACTGTGTCTATTCATCCGCCTCCCGCAACCGCCCTGTTGCGGCACAGAGGCGTGATGGAAATGCCAATCTTGAGAATCGTCTCCGTCGCCTCGAGGAGCTTCTTAATACAATGGCGCCTCAAGCGTCGCAACGGGGAAGCAACGGCAGCGCTGCCGCCTCCGCTCGTGGGCAGAACGACCGCGAGAAAGGAGGTTCTCCTGAGGATGACTCGAGTCTCCAATCGGATCCGTCCAACCTGTCCGACGTGAAGCCTGGCCGCATGATGTCAAGCGACAGTCAAGTAGCCTATGTGTCCAGCACCCACTGGGCAGCTCTCTGCAACGAGGTAAGGGGATGTCTGATATCATTTCCCTGGACTTGAGCTAATCTTTGGATCTTTCCTCCCTCTTTCTAGGTGGCAGAACTCCGTGAAGGTCTTGAGCAAACCAATTTGGCGGAGCACACAGACAATGCTGAAATTTCATATGGCTCTGGACCTATGCTCTTGGATGGCCTTCAAAGACCGCCAGAGCTGAAAGACATTCTGTCCGGTATCCCGCCACGCGAGGTTACCAATAGGCTGGTATCCCGTTATTTTACCTCCAATGTCATTTCACTTGGTATGAATTTGTTATCGCCCTATTAGAACTCGGAGACCATCTAACTTGGCCGGTTACTCAGTAATTCTCCATGCGCCGACTTTCGAGAAGGAGGTAGGATATATCAGAATCACTCGCTTGTGATTGCATTCGTCGCTGACATGAATAGTACATCCGCTTTTGGAATGACCAGGAACAGGTTCTACCTGCCTGGCTGGCCGTCCTTTACGGGGTGTTGGCAATGGGATCCTTCCTCTTTTTAAGAGCTCAAGAAGACCTTCCAGGAGACCTGGGAAACACTTTGATTGCCATCGAAGCATTCCAACGCCGCTCCACAGAATGCCTCATGCTGTCCAACTACTCTTGCTCACCTGGGCCCTACACTATGGAGGCTCTTGCAATGAACACCCAAATCGAGTTCGTGCGGAGACGTGATGCCAGTGTCGGGGTTTGGGTCCTGATGGGTGTTGCTATCCGTCTGGCTCTACGGATGGGATACCACCGGGACCCTTCGCATTATCCCCAACTATCCGCTTTCCAAGGCGAGATGAGACGCCGCGTATGGGCTCTTACGTTGCAACTTGACGCGCTCACATCGTGCCAGATCGGTCTCCCTCCCATGATCAACCAGGCACAATGTGATACCCAACAGCCGCGGAATCTGCTCGATGAGGATTTCGGACCTGACCATGCCCAGCTCCCGCCTTCGCGGCCCGAGACCGAGCTCACCCCCGTGCTGTACACCATCACTAAGACTCGGATATCAAACGTCTTCCGGACCATCTTCAACCACGCCGGCCTTGGGCGAGTAGATTCTTACAATCAGATTATGGAGCTGGACCAACGTCTCAACACCACAATGCAGTCCATCTCGCCTCGTCTTAAATTAACAAGCCTCGAGGACTCTGTCTCCGTCCCGCCCTGGCTCCTGATCCACCGATATAGCCTGGAGCTGTTGAGCTTGAAGGCCCGTTGTATCTTGCATCGATACTACATGACGCAGGCCTACTCCGATCCCAAATACAACTATTCGAGGGTTTCGTGCGTCGAGGCTGCAATGTCGATCCTGAAATACCACGGCCAGATCTTGGCTGAGACCCAAGACGGCGGCCTCCTATGCCAACACAAATGGTTCCTGTCCTCACTGGAACTCCACGACTTCCTGCTCTCTGCCATGGTTGTTTGCCTCGAGCTCAGTTTCCGCGCACGCGCCAAGTCAGGATCCGGAGGCGGCCAGAGCCCCGTCAAGTTCAGCAGAGAGGAGCTGGTCGGCTCGCTTCAGCGCTCGCAGATTCTCCTGGACACGCTCAAGGTCCACTCCAGTGATGCTAGAAAGGCGTCAGTTGCTCTTGCTGTCATGGTGAAGAACTTTACGCAGCCCCAGAAGCCCCAGGAGGAGTCGTCCGAGCCGAGGGATCAGTATGGCAACAGCGGCAATTTGCCTCTTTATCCTAGTGAAGGTAATGTGGATGGGATTTCGGCTTTTGTTGTGGTAATATGTGGCTAACTTGTAGTATAATTTGTAGCGGAATCTATTTTGGGATCCATGTCCTTTGATGAACCGTATCTTCCATCTGAAGCTATCCAAACATCTCACCCGGCATTTAGCTCGTCCCTTGAAGGGGTTGGGACCTTTTTCAATACCTCGGAGATTATCGATTGGGTAAGTTTTAATATGCGTCGTTTCTTGGGTGAACTCTTACTAACTGGATGCCTTCTAGGATCAATGGGAGGCGTTTGTGCAAGGATCTCGCAGCACTACAGACTCATTCTAAGCCATGATCAGCCTGAATTATTTGGATAAATATATAAATAGAACCCATAAACATAAATACGTATTTGAAACTCGAATAATTATTCTGGTTACTATGTAATATGCAAAATGATACCTAACACACCTTCTGGAGTTCTAATCCTTGGCTCCAATGCTGTATGACTGACATGATTCTGTATAGAGGAAAGCAAGACAAAATAACAAGACATCCACCCTAGAAAAAGCAATAGTATTATATCTATACAAGTAGCCACTAGCCATTCTTCGAAGCTCGCCTACGGGATCCGTGCCAAGATGTCCGAACAGTGCTCCCACAACCGAGCGTTTGTCTCCCGGTCATTGAGCCAGTTGTCTGCCTTTGGGTCCACCTTCGTAACCGGAATGAAGAACTTGCCCTGTCCCCGCTCGGGGGCCAGGGGATTCGTGGCCAGGAACAGCGAGTTGATGGCGCCTTCCAGCGGCGTCATTCTGGCTGTGTATTTCATGACGGTTCGCACCGTCTTGCCTACGATGGTAGGATCGTGGCTTTGGAGGTTCGACTTGACGATGCCTGGGTGGCAGGAGTAGGCGGTCACACCTGTTTGGGAAGTCAGCGAGGAAGATCAGTTAGCAGTCGAGTACTCTTTTCTCACCTTGGTGGCTATAGCGGTCATTGAGTTCCTTAGCGTGTCGGATTGCTGCCTGTTTTGAGTGTCCATATCTCTGCCTGTGATTTTAAAGTGTTTAGCATCTGGATACCTATAAACTAAGCTAGAGAGCACCTACATGAGCTCCATCATTCCCTTGGTGTTGGTCATGTTCAAATCGTCGAACTGAATCGTTTTCGGGCCCATGAACGCGAGGTCGCTGCACACATTGATAACACGTACTCTGTTGGGAGTGCTGTATTGAGACGCGGTGGACAGCAGCAGTGGGAGGAGTGTCGTGGTGAAAACGAATAGAGCGAGAAAGTTGACTTGTATTTGCGTTTCGTAGCCGTCTTTGGTCAACTTGAAAGGGACGGTCATGACCTATGAGGACCGTTAGTTATCGATCTCGGGATCTGAAACATTGGGCTGCTCCTCGATTCGGACATACACCAGCGTTGTTGATCAAAATATCCAGGTGCGACTCCTGGTGTGCAAACAGAGTGGCAGCAAGCTTTACAGACTGTAGGTCCTGCAGGTCCATCTGGAGGAAGTGAAGGTCGAGAGCCCGTCCGGCAGCTGTGTTCATTTGCGAAATGGCTTCGTCTACCCGCTGCTGGGATCGGCTGGCGATGTATACACGGGCATTGCGCATGGCAAGCTGTTTCGTCGTTTCAAATCCGATGCCGGAGTTGCCTAAAACCAAGGACGGAGGGCATTAGAACACATCTGGAAACAGTTTGAAGGGTGACAGATGGCCAAATGAAACTCACCACCAGTGACGATGGCAACATATCCGGTCAAATCCGGGATGTCATTTGGGGTAAACTCGGGAAGGGGGGCTTCTTTTTTGCAGCTCATGTTGATGGAATGGAGGATGGATGAAAAAAAGGAGAAAATAGATAACCAGAGTTTGTATGAAAAGAGTTGAATATATGAATGATGACAATGTTCCATTTCAAAAAAGAGCAGAAACATGGATTGGTATTTATGTAGGATAGATTTACCATCGCGGCGGACACGGAGATCGGCAGTCGGACGTCCGCGGATATGGTGGAGCCCGGACAGGGGAGAGCCACGCTTGGCTGATCGGTGGGAGGCTAGGGCTGAGTCTATAGATCGTTTCCAGCCATGGATAATTCATCAATGGATTAAGTATCTAATGGAAATAGAAACGGAGTACCGATGACGGGGAGCACTTGAATGCCGAAGCGGTAGTGCCGGCTTTGCGGCCATTTGGTAGGATACCGAACTCCACACGCACATTGCAAAATGACGGGGTGTTTGTGTTGTAAACATAACATCAGGCAAGGTCCTGTATGATGGAGGGAAATGGTCGTGGCATTTAGCTCTCCAGTACTTGAAGATTGAACTGCGAGCGAGATTTAAGAAGACATTACCGGGATGCTGTCTCCTGGTGTATGAAGGGTCCAGACACAACAATAGTTATTCACTTCGGCTCTGAAATGATGATTAGAATTCTCGTTCTTCCTCTTCTTCTTCTCCCCGCCGTCCCTTTTTAATTGAAAATTAAAAGGAAAAACAGAGAAGACAGAGATTACATGATATACTAGTTGGATGGTTCTAAAATATCGAAGGAGAGAATATATGTCGTCTTCCAGCTAATCACTGATGGAATGCTATATCCCATGGCTATCTGCCCTCAGTACAATCGTCGGCCTGACGAAATTCAGTTCTTAAGTGATGGAGACTTTGAGGATTTATCATTGTAGAAAATATGGAAGAATGTGGAATTTTATGGATAATCTGACTGGAATATCTCACTTATCTGGCTTCTTCCGGGGGTCGAAACATAAAGCCGTCTCTATCACTCCGACTTGCCACCTTTTTTTGTCACGAGACGAATACTCGTCATTGTATCGACTGTGATGACGTGGATACTTACTCTACATATTCTGCCTTGGGCTGTGTAGGTCTTGGATAACGAATAGTAATCGAGTGACATTGTAGATAGGTGAGGGTAAGCAAGAACCTCGGTGAAAACCGGAAACCCCGGAGCTTATGGTAACACAAGACGTTATCGAATGGATTTCTGATTGGTCCAGTATTTCCCATTCGGCCAATAATTGAGCTTGATCGTCCGCCTCTTGCTGACAAGCTCATGTCAGCAGAACCGAGACTCAAAAGAGTACCGAGAGGCGAAGCTTTGTATGACCCTTGGCTTCCAAAAGAACATTCTATCTGATGAGATTTCCTCTTTTGGGAAACCAGTGGGCATGCTTTCCGCAAGGCGACTCTTATGGAGCGGGTGAGGCGTAAGCCTTGTCATATTGGTTCACGAATCAACTTGCTTGGAAGCCTATCGCCAACGCTGCCACAATCATCATCATGTCTGAATCATTACCGAAAGCTGGTACTAAATGGCGGACATGAAGCATTTTAGGATGCTTGAAATTTCTATAAATTGGAGCCAATGTCTCTCTTTCCATCTGTATTTTGATTGCCTTATTATCAAGTCACACTCAGCTAGCCTCCACACGCCCCCAACTACTCGTTGAGAAAACTCTCACTGGAATCATTTTTTTTAAACAAGGCTTCCTGCTACTTATTAATTTTCCAAAATGAGCGGAAACGAAACAGTCAAGGTTCCAAGCCCTCCTCCGACCCCGGCTGAAGAAGCTGTGTTGAAGAACAAGAAGTGAGGCGCAGAATTCCACCACAGAGACAGCATAATTATGGCGTGCTTCCTCACACGATGTCTTTTCAACACCCTGGTACTTGAAGCGATAAATAAGCAGTATATCAGTATCTGAATATCGAGTTTCATGATTTTTGCAACTTTCATTTTCCAACATACAAGAACCAATATGCCGTTTCGTTGTACTGGATGATATCTTACGACAACCAACGCCAAAAAGAACCAAAAGAATCCGACAATGAGTGAAGCCTTGATCGGCGGGACTGAGGCATAAGAGGGAACAGAATCATTGTATGAGATAGTGAAACGAGAGCTTTGACTTTGTGAGAGAGCTGAGGAACTGCCGTGCAAATACGAGAGTGGCAGGGAAAGTACATTGAAAGAGACAGCCTCACGAATACATGGTCTAGTATTGGAACTTTATACACTTATGATGAAATACACAATTTGCTATTAAAATGCACTCTATCATGCATATTTCTCTCGAAATTCTACTCGTGTAAACTCATTATGAAACCGTGGTAAGATTGTGCGTCATGTTAGGATCAAGAGCTGATTAAGAGTTTGTATAACTTACTGGGATTGAAGCTTCTCAACTAACATTAAAGATTTTTTATCCGGTAGCTAGTTTTGAGAGAACGGAGTAGAACGGGAAATTCGACTCATTACAGCTGGAGGTAGGACTGAGCCCCTCACGGCTACGGAAACACGGCTGATCATATTCACTTATTTGCTGTTCCACACGAGAGAGAACGCTCTTAACAATTGGCAGACGCCCTGCGACCTCGCGGAAGGCTTCGGGGAGGCCTGTCGCATCCGATGCCGCGCCGTATACTTGTTTTGTTCCGTCGATGGTTGCAATCGCCGATGTCACGGCACCTATGGCCTGATTCCTTTGAGTGGGAAGCCTGACCCTTACACGTAGGTACACAAGGAATCAAAGTGTTTCGAAAGCGGAAGCTAATAATAGTCGTAACTCTATAATCCTTGAGGTTTATGTTGGTGAGTCCTCCTGTGCTGAAATCCCCACCACTCCCTTCACTCTAAGGGCGAAGGTCGCAACCAGAATTGGTACCGCAATCAAGGTTTTCATTCCGCCACTTTTGACTTTTCTCCCCCATTTCTCTTGCTTGATGGATTAAATCCTCTGCTTTAACTTACATTCTCCCAAGAAATCTTATCCGCACCAGAATCTTCATTCCGTCCGAAATGGCAAAGGTAGAAGCTGAAGGTCTACAGTCCAAGTCCCGATCTTCTACCAACAAGAAGCGGAGGCATTCAGATGGTGGCGACTTGGCATCGAGTGCCCGAAATGCTCTTCTCAATGGCCCAAGCAGCAGCTCCCATGCTGCGAGGAGATCAAGCTTGACCAAGCCTGGCCGCGACAAGCTTGATGAGCCTGAGGGCAAGCGCCCAAAGCGGCACCGCAAAAAGCAAGACGACCGGGACAGCCGGGCGGCGAGCCCTGTGATTGATTTTGATGGGCTGAGCCGACCCAGCGTGGGCACGAGGGCACGATTGGAGGAGAGCCCTGAGGAGAAGGCTGATCGGCTGGAGCGCATGAAGGGGGCTGTGCGGACACTGCTGGAATGCGTGGGAGAGAATCCCGACAGGGAAGGGCTCCTCGCCACCCCTCATCGATATGCGAATGCCCTCCTGGACTTTACGGTGGGCTACCAGCAGAACGTGATGGATATCGTCAACTCGGCCATCTTCGAGGAGGGCCACAACGAGATGGTCATCGTCAAAGACATTGAGGTCTTCTCCGTCTGCGAGCACCACTTGGTGCCTTTTACGGGCAAGATGCACATCGGCTACATCCCCAAGAACGCCGTGATTGGAATATCTAAGCTACCCCGGATTGCCGACATGTTTTCCCGGCGACTCCAAATCCAGGAGCGGCTGACCAAGGAGGTTGCCAATGCCATTTTCGAGGTCCTTCAGCCCCAAGGTGTGGCGGTGGTCATGGAGTCTAGTCATTTGTGCATGGTGATGCGAGGCGTGCAGAAAGCCAGCAGCACGACTGTGACGAGCTGTGTCCTGGGCTGTTTCGAACGCAAGGAAAAGACGAGAAATGAATTTCTGAGCCTCATTGGCGTGAATCGAGGATAGGAGCCCCGTTGTTTGACATGGATTGGAACCAAAGGCCGGGTATCCTGGAGCAAACAGAGGATCGGGTGGGTTCTGGGTTTGATTCACGCCCATGTGAATCGATTGTTTGGAAGAGTGCCCATGTCGTTAGGAGGGGCATCAAAATCAAAATGTAACCACCATTTTCTGTCCTTAATCTATCTGCACCTCATGGTTTATGGAATCCGATTACAAGTACGGTTTCTTTTCTATTATTAAATTCTATGGGTTGGTAGTTGTTGCCCAAACTTCCAATAAGTTGCGCTTGGGCCCGCAGATTCACGCATCTATTTTCGTCTAATCTAACAGGATCGTCCACCGCCTCCATCATCAGTTACGTATACACACTATGGCGACGCGTTCAACCCGCACCTATGAATTCCCCGACGATATATGCGCTGCTCTTGAATCCAGATCAACAGTCCGATTTGTTGTCAGAAGAAAGGCTGAGCTCGAATCTCGACTTCCCACGCCCATTGTTCAGGCTGCATCTAACAGGGCTGCCACGATAAGCAGGGCTCTTCTCAAGCAAATGGGACGAGAGGATGCCAAGTTCGACACAGAGATACTCATGATCGAACTATTGGATGCTAAGACAACCGTCTACTTTTGTTTCGATATTTTCCTAGAGGGGTGCGACGAAGCAACTCGGCTCGAGATCTCGAGTAGTACTCGGGAACCCGTTTACTACCTATATGTCACTGGGCGACATTGTATTGCTCGGAAGGACAGCAGACCGCAGCGAATAGTCGGGCAGCTGTTGGAAGATTATCTCCGGAAAGATAAAGGGCCACGCCCTTTTTTTCCACGATGCTCTGGCCCCATCAGCCTATATTGATGGTGTCCGCCAAGAATGTGAGATGGAAGTTGCGGTGGTATCATCGACACAAGAACAGGGTGAAAACTTGGCATTCCAGCAGAAAACATCAGTAAAGGATAGCTGATTGGTAGCAGAGATCGAGATATGGGGATTATGGAAGAAACGAGTTGTATATCTGGTGTCCTTTCTGTTTGCATCTTGCACGCTTTTCATCAACATAAGGGTAGAATGTACATGTAAACTTGTGATCGCTTATTTGTGTGTTATTTCAAGTCATTCTCTGGGACTGAATTTTCCTCCCGTATATCTCTAATTAATCAATCAAGTGCCTATGAATTCGGATGTTGATCATACATGTCAAGACTTATATACTCCTAGGCCGTCTAGCCGGTAAGCTGTGGCGCGTTTATAATTAGGCCTCTATCCAACATCAGCACAACCAAGCTAAGGTAGTGATCAATATAATATTAAGATAACTATTCGAGAATTATTTATTCTTTTACTATTCCGGTGTTTGGTATTATTAATAACAAAAAGGGGTCTTTAATTTGCACGATAGAGCTCCGGTGTGCCGTTTTTACCTCGGTCGCTTGTGTGATAGTTGAATGCATGGTGCTGGGGTGTTGTATAAAAATGGAATGTCTGCCAGTAATGATAATCGGGTAGACTCGCACGATAATCCCACCATCTACTACCTTAGGCCAGTTGATGCTACCCTACTTAGATGGGAGCCATTTGCGCAATCACCTCCCTGTTACCTTCTTTACTGGACGATTCCTTGTGTGGAACAGTGACAAGCTGCTGACCCTCCTGGAGGTTGCAATTGCCGACAGCTAGTTTTGGGCGAGGGTTACATCGTGGATATTCTGCCGAGAAAATCAAACTTGGCTGGGCCAATTGTTGCTGCCGGCGCGCTCAGCGCATGGATCCGGCCTAGAGAATCATGGTGCCCAAGAATGAGGAAGCGATTCAGTGCCCACCCTTAAGGCGCGCTTAGCGGACAAGGCGGGTAGGAATCGTGCGGAGTGTGAGGTAGATGCGGCTACGAACAAACGATTGCATGAATCGATGCCGTTGCGTGAGTCGTGTCGCGAGTCGTGTTGTGAAGCCGACGGGGACTGAGGTAGTACTGGACTTGGACTGACGCGGGCAAAGGGGGGATCAGGCAATGGAAGCAGGGCCTCACCCTCGCTTCCGTGCTCCTGCTTCCATTCCATCCGCCGCTATTGGATCTAACACGGCCAACCGCTACCTTAGTCCAGTCCATGGAAGGCACTACCTGCTAATTTCAATTTGATCGATGTTGCTACCCAAAGCTTCCAGGTCTGTGCCTGCTTTAGCCTCTCTGGGATCCAAGACTCATGCGTTCTGCTGCGAAATAACTGCCTTCATGCATCCGCAGGAACTGCTCCGTGCTCAGGCACTCATGTAGCCACTTATTTTTACCTACCATCACACCCATGTCCACCCATCGCGATCATGCTGGGTGGGAATGAGCGTGGAGAAACAGGCGTGTGGAACGGACAGAGCGCAAGCAAGGTTGGCCCCTTGTCACTAAACCACCAGCGCCTGGTCTTTGTGAGTCAAGTACCCGAGTTTACCCTCCATCTCCTATAACTGCATGCCTGATGCCTTATCTATCCCGGCGCTCCTCGCATGTGCGAAAGCAAGGCCTGTGTTTTCCTCCCGACAAAGCCTGGCTGTCGCTATTCACTATACTACACTCCAGGGGGCGGATTGGTCTGCCATGGCCTCGTCCCATTCCATACCCCGTTGTGACATGATTAATTAATTGGATCGAGTAGGCCTGATATCCTGGCCGCCAATATCGATACTACCAGCTGCTGACCCCATCACACAACCAACCGTCCCAACGACATCAGCAGGCCATGGCACCTGATCTGGTCGCTCGGGTTCGGAGGAAGCTGTCCATGAGACGACACTCGTTTGCTTCATCCTTCTCGTTTGTCTCTTCAAAGAGTGCGGCCTCATCGCTCCACGACGACCAAAACGAGACGCGCCCCGGACAGTTGTCGCCAGCCAGTTCCACCCTGCACAGCGCCGCTGGGCGCCCCGGTTCAAGGATCAACAAACGTCGGTCACAGCAAATGCGCGACCCGTCTCCAGATGCATCTCGCAGCATGCCGCCGGAGTCGGCATCTGACAAGCACCAGGACCCAGAGGATGAGCAGCGGAAGCAAGACGATCATGATGATGAGCTCCTCTCGGCAGAGCAGCCGAGCCTAATTGCTGCTAAGCTGCAGGGCACCGATGGCGCTGAGCAGGCTAAAGGCGCCGATCAGCTGGGGGATTCAGCCACTGCTGGAGATGCCGCCAGCAGCCACAGCACGAGTGCTAGTCCTACCAGATCCGCCCACATTCCGCAGCAGCGCCAGCAGCAGCCACAGCCTGAAGCTGAGGCTGCTGGCGAACATTCTTCCCCTCCGCTAGAACCGCCCAAGAACCAACACCCATCTCTGCCATCCCAATCATCGCCGCTGCCCACCCAGCTGCACAGCATCGACGAGGCACCAAGCCCTCCGTCACCCCGTTCACCGCCAGAACGCTCCGCCAGCCATTCTCCTGTCCAGCATTCCGTCCCCGACGGCGCTTGCGACACCTGGGCCGGCTCTTCTACCTCGCCCTCCAATGATAGCGGAATTGTTGCCCGCCGCCGCCGAGACAAGACACCCGACACGTTGTCTCTGAATCTCCACGATAATAATAAATCCCTTCTGGCAGCTGAGCCACCCAACGTCGACACACCTGCCTCCCCCATCATCCGGACCCAGCTACCAATACGGCGCCAAAGCCTGCTCAGCAACCGTCAGTCGAATCTGATCCATTCTCTTCTGGGTGCATATGATACCGAAGACAACGGCAGCGGTCTGCCTCCCCTCGACATAGTTGCCAAGATGGCACAGCGCAAGGTCTGGGTCAAGCGACCGAACGCTTCGCCCACTCTGGTCATCGTTAACGAGGACGACCTGGTCGACGACGTCCGCGGAGCGATTTTGCACAAGTATGGCAATTCGCTTGGCCGAAGCTTCGACGCCCCCGATTTAACACTCCGAATCTGCCCCCGCGAGCAACCACAGCGTGAGCGTATCCTCGGCCCAGAAGAACCCATCTGCCGCACCTTGGATACCTGCTTCCCTGATGGTCAGCGTGTAGACGAGGCTCTCATCATCGATATCCCTGCTCGCCGAACGCCGAGACCATCCCCGCGAATCCAAGCTGGGTATTACATCAATGACGAAGGCCGGCCATCAGAGGCTGCCGAGGGCTATTTCCCACCTGTTGGTGGCATACCTTCACCCCATCATACCGTCACCGTCCAGCCACCAACTAATGGAACAGTCCCTCACTCAATCGCCGTTATTGGCACCGGCCACATCCCTCCGATCCCGTCGCCTGGTGGCACGCGGCCGCGAGTCGTCAGAGAACGCACCAACCGACCCAGGATCACAAGAACACAGACATCATCGCCGTCATATGTAGCGGCCCATCCCCAAGGCGCCTCAAACTCCGTCGACAATACCAACTATAGCCACGGTACGCAGCACTACACCTCACGGCCTTCTCATTCGCGGGCTCATTCGAACTCCTCAGAATATCAAAAGGGATTGCCACCGCCAACGAACCCTATAACCTCCTCCCCAGGACCTATCATCTCACATGCGCGCTCCTCGACTCCCCCTCCCCGAATCTCCTCCCCTCGCCCGAACGCAAACCGGAAGAAGTCTCGAAGAACAGCCGAATACCCCTCCGCACCAACCGCCATCAATGTTGGTGTTCCACCCATTAATGTCCTTATCGTAGAGGATAACCCTATCAACCTGAAGCTGTTGGAGGCCTTTGTCAAGCGGCTCAAGGTTCGGTGGCAGACGGCAATGCACGGCCAGGAAGCGGTAGACAAATGGAGAACGGGCGGCTTCCATTTGGTTTTGATGGATATTCAGCTCCCGATTATGGATGGCTTGGACGCAACACGTGAGATCAGACGACTTGAACGCGTCAATAATATCGGCGTATTCTCATCCGAGGACGGCCTGCCCGAAAAATCCGATGGCGACCTCAAGGAGCAAGACCGACTGCAAAACAAAGAGCTATTCAAGAGCCCAGTCATCATCGTGGCATTGACAGCGAGCTCGCTCCAGAGTGACAGGCACCAGGCATTGGCCGCTGGTTGCAATGATTTCTTGACAAAGGCAAGTAGTTCATCTCCCCAAACAGGTACCAATCAATTCGCGACGGTCAATAGACTAACAACATATTAGCCTGTCAACTTTGTGTGGCTTGAGCGGAAAGTCATGGAATGGGGCTGCATGCAGGCGTTGATCGATTTTGACGGCTGGAGAAAGTGGAAAGACTTCTCACAATTAAACCAAGAAAGTGAGGCGTCCAAGAAAGCAGCCGCTGCTGCTAAGGCCAAGGCGATAAAGAAGAAGAACCGTTCGTCACTTTCAACATACACTTAAAATACCTGGACCTGGTCTGCTGCAGGTCATTGCTCATTACCTGCCTGACCACATAATACACGAATTGCCAAGCGACTGCCAGTTTGGGCAACCCGATATCTGATTTCGACTGGTACCGTCGTTTGTTTGCTTCTTAGAACAGCATATGTAGCTGTTGGGATACCCATAGACCGCGAGTGGAGAGGCGTTATGAACGCCCCCTGAATACGATATTCTTAAAGGTTATCATGGTGTCAGGTTTTCTCAACATTGCTCTGGCTGATGAACACGAGATATATAATTTTTACTATCCCCCGGTGCCGGAGCGTATGGTCTCTATCTATTTGATGTCTTCCTTTTGTTCTGATTTGGTTTGTTGTGGGCTGTGATGGGCAAGGATTACCCATACTTAAGGAGATACGTAGTAATATCTTAATAGCCTACGCCTCTTTAGCTGAAGCAGCTAGAGAGGCCTAGTACAATCCCTCAATCATAATGTTCGCCAAATGACTAGTATTACTATTAAATCTTTGGCATAGTATGTATGTTGCGATACTAAGGAACGACAATACGCACATATTAATTCTTGGGTGGAGCCTTAGGTAGGATGCAAGCGGCGGAAGCGGAGAATCTAATCTGCCGTGGCGATGAATTTTGCGCTTGCTCAACGACAAGAGCAGCTTCACCTCTCCATAATTGTCACACCCACGACAGACATCCCAATTTTCCGATTCAGTCGAAGGGGCATGCGGTGCAATTGAGTTCCACCCGTGTGAACTCCAATTGACCATGGCTCCCAGAATATGCGGCACGTCAACGACGCTGGCGTCGCTCGACGCATGCCTCCAGACCTCCAGCTACCTCGCTGCCCACGCGACGAGATCCTTTTCCTTGACATGCCGGAACGAAAAGATTACGAAAGGCCGCTATGAGATGGTCAAATGGATCAAGGAGAAGGCCATGAATAATTTTGACAAAAACCATCCCACATATCTCGGTCCCCATGTTGACCAACCGTTCCCGTCAAACCCTCTATTTCGCAGTCAGAGTGTGCTGTCGGAATCGATGAAGAACAGGATCTATACGCAGGTGATGGACCACGGCGTGGCAATGAAGGCGGTGTCCGAAGAGATGCAGGTCGATGTGAGGAGAGTAGCGGCCGTCGTACGATTGAAAGAACTCGAGAACCACTGGAAACTTGAGGTGAGTTTACCCCTCGTCGTCTCAACCTGACGTTCTCTTTTCCCACCCTTGTCCCCCAATTGTGTGCAATGATGAGACCATTATAAAATTTTCGATTAGTCTTGAAGACACCCACATGGTTAAACATTTTTTTTTTCCTGATCTGCCACGCTCTTCATCTATTATTGTGTTGATCTTACCTTGGCGGCATTGGTGCTAACATGCGACGCTACCAAACAGGGCAAGAAATTCGCAACCCCATATGCCAAAGCCGTCATGAAGATGCTCCCCCAATCCAAGTGGGCCCAAGGCGATATGAACATCCCCCACGAACCCATCAACGACATCCCCGTCCACAAACTCTCGATGCAGCAGCTCTTCGTACCAGTCTCTGAATCGCGGCACTTCACCCGTGAAGATGCCGCTAAGGCTTTCCACGAGGGTCTCCTGTCAGCCGACAAGCGATCGCCACAGCGCGAGCTGATTGAGATTGAGCGCCAGGCCGCCGAGGAGGGCGGTGACCGGGCTACGAGCATCGAGGAGTTTAGGAAGGAGGCACAGGAGGCTGAGGAGGAATACGCGGCCGAGCTGGCGCGGAAGAGCGAACTAGAGGATGCGAAAATCAAGAAGTCCCGTAAGGGGCGGTTCGAGTTCAGGATCAAGAGATACAATTCCGAGACCGTGGGCAAGTACGGCAGGGCGCGCGATGCCACCGGCTGGCGGTACGGTCAGGCTCTCCAGGACCGCAAGCGGGGGATGGTCAAGATCCCGACGTCTGTTCCTTGAGAGGGGATGGTTGCTGTTATTTGGGAGAGAGCGATCGTGTATCATATGACGTACAAAGGTGGCCCGAGCTGTGTCGACGATTTGTCCAGCCGAGTAATGGATTGAGAACGACCACCGGATATGACGGCTGTATACTACTACAAAAGGTGTTCATGTATACTATATAAATCTAGCGTCGTGGTTTACCACTTGAGGGCTCCGCGCTCGTTGAATGATGATTATGTTACAATATGTCACGTTGGATGCTATGTTAATCATACAATTGATTGTAGCAATGTACCATTATATGTTTGTCTATGCTAAGAATGCACCAGATCTATAATTAGTTTATAATTAATTAGGATATGAAGAGAAGGGTCTGTAAGTAATCGACGACCAACACCGCCACAACAGAGTAAGCCGTGGTGAGTCACAACACTATCCACCATTGTAGATAAAACCATCAGCGCGCTCATCCCAGGGAGGCATTGAGAACTCAGAAATACCAAGGATAATAATTTCATTCCAAGGGCATAATGGACTGCCACAGACCTTCTACATCAATCTAATCCGCTCAACCACCACGATGTGTGGCCAAGATCTAGAAGCCGAGGCGCCCCGCGTCTTCGGCGACGACTTCCCATGGCATCTCGGCGTGTTCGACGTCCACAACCACATTGGCGAGCTCGCTCCATTGGCCGACAGAATACCCAAAATGCGATCCCGCGGAGTCGCCATCATGGCCACCCGCACACAGGACCAGCCGCTGGTCGCCAAGATGGCAGAATCGTACGGCCTGAAAGAGGCGGGTCAGCTCTCGGCCGCGGATATCACGACTGTTGTCCCCGGGTTCGGCAGGCACCCCTGGTTCTCGCACGAGCTGTACGACGACACCGTCACGTCGCCTACTTATTCGCCGCCGGGGACTGAAGCGGGACTGGAGGAGGCCAAGATGGCGCACTACCGCGCCGTGCTCACCCCGCCGCCAGACGACCCGGCCTTCGTGGCGGACCTGCCGACCCCGGAGCCTCTGTCCGAGTTCATCTCGGCGACCAGGGAGAGGCTGAGGAGCCACCCGCTGGCCATTGTGGGTGAGGTAGGGCTGGACAAGCCCTTCCGCCTCGCGCGGCAGTGGGAGCCCGGCGCGAAGGCTGCGCGTGCTCTGGCTCATCCTGATCGCACGCCTGGGGGTAGGGGCCGTCGTCCCCTGAGCCGCCACAACGTCGGAATGGCGCATCAGAAGGTCGTGCTGCTGGCGCAGCTGAGGCTGGCGGGGGAGATGGGCCGGGCGGTGAGCGTCCATGGCGTGCAGGTGCACGGGGTGCTGTTTGATCTACTCGTGGCCTGCTGGAAGGGTCACGAGCGGAAGGGCAAGACGTCGCGGCGGAGGAAGCAGCAGCTTGTGCCGGATGGTCCCTCTGCTGAGACTGAGAGGGCCTCCGAGGCTGAGAGAAGGGAGGAGGCGTTGCCGTACCCACCGCGGATATGTCTCCATTCCTTCAGCGGGAAGGCGGAGGCGGTGCGGCAGTACCTCAACCCCAGGTTCCCGGCGAGGATCTTCTTCTCGTTCTCCAAGTCGAACAATATGCGGGACGAGGCGGGGCGGGCGAAGATGAAGGACGCGCTGGGCACGGTGCCGGACGACAGGGTGCTTGTTGAGAGCGACATACACGAGGCCGGGGACAGGATGGACGGCGACCTGGAGGACACGTACCGGGCTGTTTGCGCGTCCAAGGGGTGGACGCTCGAGGAGGGGGTGGAGAGGATTGCGCGGAACTACAGACATTTCATTTTGGGGAGGATGGGGAGGCGTCGTAGGGTTGTCATCTCTGATTGATACTTTTGTTTTGGTGTGCATAAGGTGTATATAGCAACATGATCGATACCTATAGAAGAGCCATGTGTCATATGGGGCAACGTATGTCGATGAGGCGTAGGGGCTGGTCTGTAGAAGGGATCATTTGGCTATGCGGAGCTCTTCCATGCGATTTGCTTTTGAAGCTAGAACTTTTGAGTGATGGGCTTCCCCATCGTTGCATGTAGAGTGGGTGTCGCAAATCCGTCAAGCCTTCGTCTCGTCGATTTAATTCATCCTCGAGGAAGGCCCGTGGCCGTCCAAAGTCTCGCTGACCTTGTTCAAGCAGCTCATTCCTCCTGGGCGGAAGCTAAAAATCTTTCTTGTATACGTGGAAGAGAAATCAGGTGTCAAAATGCGTGATCAAAAGTCCTGGATGCCTGTCTCACCGGCGCTTGCACCGTTGTGAGGGGTCTCAGTCTCGTCGGCATCGTCATCAGCCCAGCTGGGTTCTTCCTTGTCGAACCAACGGTCCTCGGCGTCTTGGATCTCCAGGGCGTCATAGCCATCGTCGCTGTCGACGAGGCTGTAGTCGAATTCGTCATCTCGGCCATGCACGAAGCGGTCTTCGAGGAACGCCCGCCACAGCTCGAGGCCTTCCTGCTTGTCCCGCGCATCATCATCCCAGGCATCTAGTCCGCTCGGCATTGAAGCTGGACCATTCTGAGACATGCGACCTTGTGCGCTGTCGTCAGTGGAGGCACCGTTGTCCTGCTCCTCAGCACGCAGGTTCGCCAGCGTTGTCTCGCCTCTAACGAGAGACGCCTCGAGGGTGCGGCCATAGCCCTTTGCCTTGACATCCTTGCTGCGTTCCTCGGCAGATTGGAACCTCTTTACCAGGCGCTCATAAATGACGGGATCTTTATGGGTATATCAGCATACCCTGCCTTTGCACTGGTATTTGGGGGGTGTTGCTTGAGTCTTACCCGCGAGCTCATGTTCTATGTTGTCATAGTATGAGGGATGCTGTTGCAGGTATTCGCGGCGTCGGTTCTGCGCCCTTATCCGGGCGGCAGAGGCTGGGGATCGGGTCGCAACTCTTTCTAATGGAGCCATGACGGCAAGTACTTGGGTAGTATGGATTGACGAAGTGTTTGAGGAGAAATCAACCCGTCATTATGGCTGGTTCTGCAGATGTGAGATGGAAGTCAAGGCAAAACGGGAAAAGTGGAGTGGAGGGTACAAATTACCAACTCCTCACTCAGCATTCATCATCAACTCAATTAAATAAATATTTGACACATTCGATTGATTTCGCCTGCTAATAGCACGCGATTTTCTCGGTCTTGCGGCAATTGTTTGTTGGAGTATATAACTGGTTGAGATTGATGATTCCAACATGTATTCCAACGTCTTTTGGATTAGATGTATCTATACGGAGACACGTCAGGACCGTAAGTAAACGGGCATTCCTTTATATTTCTTTGATTGCATTAGAATTGAATTGAAAAAAAGAAAGACCTCATAGGTATCTTTCATCACTTAGATACTAAATATGTTGGGAGCGAGAATTTATATAGAGATATAGATTTCCTTAGGACATATACTATGGGGTAGGAAGTCAAGTATCCTCACTGAGGAACTTTTAATATTATGAAACTTTTGGTCAATTTTTTAAGATTGAATGTCATAATTTGATTTTGATACCCAGACCCTATGCTAATGAGTGTCAAAAACAGGGCGTAGGAGGATGCCAAACCTATAGTTCAAGTATTGCACTTGCTAAACGAACTACATCTAAAGACAAGATAGCGTCTACTGAGCCAGCTGAACTCGTATCTAAGATCTCTAGACTCTCAATTCAGCAGTAAATACGACTGTCATCGGCCTGTTTCCGTACACAGGCTACTGCTCGACATCGTAGTTGAACAAAGGCCATTTGTAAGACAATCAAGCGTACAAGCAGCGCCAAACCTCGGTATATTGTTTGAAATCTAGTACTATTCGGAATATATAGCACGCTGTTGCCCTAATTAGTGCTCATATGTTCTAATTATTGCTTCCATAGTTCGTGAAAATCCTCATTTAGAAGAGCTGCGTGACAGGTTCTTCTCGACGTCAAATAGTAAGAGTGTGTGTGGGCATGTATAAGCAGAGCCGGAACCGAGTTCGATGGGCCGGATGTGCCATGACAGCAAATGATAGCCTGATAACTCAAACAGCTTTGTTATTGGTTCTTACTATGCGAAGTTCATATTGTATTTCTTTTGAGTTGTAATTTAACGGATCACACGGTGAGAATCGGTGAGATTTCACTCCTACTCTACATACCCTAAATCGCATTATCGCCCAGAAATTTAATGTAGACTGATAATCAAGGTAATTAGGCTATCAATTACCCATGGATGGGGCGTACTACCTAACGATTAAATATATCAATGTGCTCTATGGTTTTAGGGGATTGATGACCAGATGGAAGCCTGGAGAGTCGTGCTCAATATCTCTGAAAGGTTACAAGAATTCGTGTAGTAAGCAGTCGAGGTCCGCGCCAGAATTACGAGCTACCCGGCGCCCGTCTGGAACTGCCCAACGTGGACGGGACTTCATGCATGCTGACACCGGGTACATGCACGCTGGGCAATGGTGGCAAGGACTTTTGTGGACTTCGCCCCCCCAGAACAACCTTGAACTTGGCAGTTTGGCAATATGCTTATCACTGGGGAATTCTCTGGCGGTCTTTGGATTTGCCTGCGGCCCCTGGTTTGTTCCATTTGGCGCTGGTTGGTCTGGGCAGTCGCCGCCTCGGGGATCAGCGTGTGCTAGCAGGCCGCTAACAACCGCTAACGATGAGGTTTGCAGCGGCTGTGGAAATGGGCTGTGGGGGTTAAGCGTTTGTTGCGAGGAGGTGTGCTGCATTTCAATTGAAAGTGGCGGCCGTCGCTGTTTCGAAGCAGGGCGAGGCGTCAGCTAGGATGGTTTGTCTGAGTGGCTGTCACCGTGCTGGATTTTACCTGGCTTCACGTCTGTATTTGATCGCAGTAGCCTATTGCCAACATATCTATTGCCAAGCCTGCCCCCGCCTTTCCTTCGCGTACAGAGACGAGCTGGACCATGGGAGATGAGCCGACACTCGTATGCGCTCGCACCAGCCAATTGTCCCACCAGCTGAGCTTGGCAAAGAGTCGGTGCGATCCAGCTGACAGGCCCGACATGTGTGGCTGGCCCACATGGACTGGCGGTGGTCCAGACCTCCCACGAGCGGTTTAGCTGCGAGAGCTGAACAATGGTGCCAACCGCCGTCTCTCACTGTCCTCTCTCTTTCTCGCTGTCCATCACTCCCCGTATGTGCCTCCCCTGTGCTCGGGCAAGGTTGAGGCGGTTGCTACGGATGCCCGGCCCCCCGCCAAGAGCGTTTCAGTGGGATTGGACCTTGGTGCTCTGCACTGCCGCCCTCGTCTATGTCATGGGGTCGTCCAATCCGCCTCATATCCTCATCTATTGACGATGTGAGCCTTGGGCGGTCGTACTAGTGCTTGCTTGTGCGAGGAGTCCAGCCAGTGCGCCGGCCAATCGCCATCATCCGGCCAAGATGCTAGCAGGCAAACGCAGGCTCTTGCACGACTCGGATGGAGGGCTGGCACACAGATCTGAAGCCTCTAGCTGTCAGCCCTACCCACTCTATTCAATCAGGCACGGGTTTTGACCATCCAGGACGGCCATCCCAGCTGGCCCGCCCCAGTGGCCGCCATGCGCCCCTGAGATGGGTCAATGCCCGGGGTGGCCTACTGGGGGCCGTAGTCTTGTACGTAGTGTACTTAATCTCGACTACCCAGCCGTCTTTTGTTCTGATCCGATCTTGTTGTGATCCCAGATTGATCGTTGATTGATTGTTCGTTCGATCGGTCGGCGTGTTGGTTGATCTGTTGGTCGACTACATTCACTCACTCACAGCACAATGCTCTCAACAACGTTATGGACGGCGGCCCTCGCGGCTTTTCAATTAACCGCCCCAGTTGTTGCCCAGTCGCAGAATGATCCCTGCCGGATTGTCGCTAAGAGTCAGCTGGAGGCGGCAAGCAAGATCAAAATCCAGAAGACAGGAGATATTCTTCTCGCCCCATTCGATGCTGAGACCGCATACAAGTGTGCGACTTCAGTGAAACTGGATTTCGATGAAGCTGCTACGACCATCCAGATTCTCAAGCTGTACTATGGACTCCAGACCACGATTCCCTACCTTAAGAATCCCCCCAAGTCATACCAGCAGCCAGCAGTGGATGTCATGGGTCGCTTCGACGCCATCGCAGACAAGATCAAGAAGAAGACGTATAAGAATCAGTATGAACTGGACATCGACATCAACTCCATTATCATTGACACACACGAGGGCCACTTCCAGTTCGCGGCCGGCGTGATCCAGATCTTCCAATGGATTCTACCTGACAGTCTTGTCACCATTTCTTCCGACGGCAAGGCCATTCCTCAGGTGTACACCTACTCTGATGTCTACAACAAGATCCCGAATGCTTCGCCCGTGGTCGAGATTGAGGGCGAGACCGTCTTCAACTACCTTCGCAACTACACCTCGCGCACCAACCTGGGCTTGGTTGATCCCCACGCCGACTATAACGCCATGAATCTCAACCCGGCCTACCAGTTTGGTATCTCAGGCGCTAGCACTGGTTTGTCTTACTATTTCAACTCCTTCCAGAGCACCTATGTGTACAACGGAAAGTCGCTCAAGGGCCGTTTCGCCAATGGAACCAACTTTGAGTGGCAGTATGTTGCGGGATCTAGCGCCAACCTGACGGCCAGCGGCTGGCTCAGCGGCGACCTCATCTACAGCAGGAAAATCGTCAACAGACAGGCCCTGTCTGGCAGAACTGACATTGACGATGAGGATGTGGTGCCCGTGCCTGAGGAGGAATTGCCGAGTCTGCAGAACTTGGTGCGCGGACGAGGAGTGACAATCAACACCCGGGCTACCACTTCCCTCACCAAGGTCCCCTTCGACAGCTACCCCAGCAGTCCCGATACCAAGCAGGACTCCTTTGGTTTTGGCGGAACCGTGTCCGGATACATCCTCAAGGATGCCTCCATCGGAGTACTGAGTCTTCCCAGCTTTGCAAATGGCAAGGACGCACCTGGGCCTACTTTCAGCGACGCCGTTGCCGACTTCATTAGCAAAGCCAAGAGCGCAAACGTGAAGAAGATCGTCATCGACCTCTCGGGCAATGGCGGAGGCTCTGTCTTCCAGGGTTACGATACCTTCAGGCAGTTCTTCCCTACCGTCGCGCCAACACTCGCTTTCCGCACCCGCAGCAGCGACCTCTCCAACACATATGGATCTTTCCTGACCTCCGTCTCCACCGACAGCGGCAGGGTCTTCAGCCAGAACTACATCCGGGCCATTGCCCAGACCTTCGGTAACGTCGCCTCGCTCAACTCTGCCTTCACCACCAAGACGGACGGCAGCAGGTGGTCTTCCTGGAAGGACTTCTATGGCCCCAACGACGTCTACGGCGACAAGTACACCAACCTCGGGTACTACAACCTGTCCAGCACCCTCATCGCCAGCGATCTGGGCCAGTACGTCACCGGCTACGGCTCCAGCTCCACCCCCAAGCAGCCCTTCGACGCCAAGGACATCATCCTGCTCCACGACGGCCACTGCGCCAGCACGTGCACCATCTTCTCCGAGCTCATGAAGGTCGACGGCGGCGTCAAGAGCGTCGTCGTGGGCGGCATCCCCCAGAACGGCCCCATGCAGGGCGTCAGCGGCACCCGCGGCAGCAACCTCCAGAAGATAGACCTCTACAGCGCCATCACCGAGAACATCGTCGAGGCCGCCTCCAGCTTCTCCAACAAGGACACCTTCCTTAAGACGACGGGCCTGACCTCGAGCGCCATCCAGTCCCTGCCCGCGACGCTCGCCGAGGCGCCCTGGACCATGACGGGCGGCGTCAACGCCCTCGACGAGATCCGCCTCTCGAGCCCCAACGACCCGCGCCAGTTCGTCTACGAGGCGTCCAACTGCCGCATCTTCTACACGGGCGACATGGTCCGCGACGTCACCCAGCTGTGGATCGCCGCCGGCAAGTACGCCAGCGGCGACACATCCGTCTGCGTCCCCGGCTCCCAGGACGCGCCCGGCTCAGGCCGCAACAAGACCGTCACCGACTACCCGGGCTTCTCCCACGACGAGGTCTGGGACAAGGCCAACTCGACGGACGTGCCCAGCGTCTCGGGCGGCGGGGACAAGGAGGACTCCTCCTCCTCGGCCGGGTCGGCGGTGCGCGTCGGGCTGGCGGGTGTGCTGGGCCTGGCGGTCGCCGCGGCCGTCTTGTTATGAAAATAAAGTGTATATGAATTATTTAAAGATTAGAAGTACATTTTCTAGAAGTGGACTTGCGAAAGAAACGGGCATTTTTATGAATACATAGCGAGCATATTAATTGGATGGCCATTTTTTTGGTTGCTCTTTGAAGCAGGCTACCATGTTTGATGACCGAAGCAGCCCATTGAGATTGTGATCTTTCTCTTGAAGTTATTGTGTGCATTTTTGAGTTCTGTTCCGATATTCTCCCTCATTTCGCGAAGTTCATCTGTGCCTGAATTGGTGAACTGCTATTCCACCCACATTGATCTCCTTACTGCCTGTTCGTTGAGGGATCGCCGGAGGAGGGATACTTGGTGGATGGAAGACTCTCCAAGGCTCTCTGCGGGTCCATGAGTTGAATCAGACAGTGTTTTGGTCTAGATGAATCCAGAGATATGCGCTGCTACTGAAACTCCTGCTGAAATCGAATCAGGAGACGAAGGGAAAGCTTTCTCTTCAGGTTCTTGCGTGCATCCTTGAGTTCTGTTTTGCTTAATTTAGTGAAGTTCATCTGTGCTTGAACTGGATTCTAGTCTATGTTTCTAGCTGTTGTATGATTCTATCATGATCAACTTTTTCCACCACGTAAAGCCTACGGTTGCCGTTCTTCAAGTCATCAAAATTTTGACACTCCTCTTCAAAATGTTGTCTTGCTCTCTAGTCGGCCTCCCTCCGCTCCTTCTTGCTGTCTCGAAACATGAGAGGCAGCTCGGGGTCGTAATCATGGAACCAATGGCGCCCTGGCCATACTTCCTCGACAGGCAGTTCCTTGTTTGCCTGCACGGACTTGGCATGCTGCTCGACCTTGGACCAGACACGCAGGATGTTGTCCCCGGCCAGACCACGGATTTGGCTATCTGTGGCGCCGCGTTTCATTAACAGTTGAATAAGGTTGGGGTATTTGGAAGTATCCTAATGACGAGAGTTAATGAGAATTAGATAATTAGGCAGTGTTAATGAAACAAGGAACGATTGGGTGGGCTATACCTCCATTCCTCTAGGTACATCGATTGTCCCATCAAAGTCTGAACCAAGACCAACGTGCTGCCAGCCAATGAGATTCGCAATGTGGAAGATGTGGTCGGCAATATCGTGGATAGTCGTCTGGTCAGGATGATCTTTGTTCAGGAAATCATTGACGAAGCAAACCATGATGACTCCGTCATTTAGTTTCAAACTCTGGAGCACGTCGTCAGGGGCGTTTCTTAGATGCCGGGAGATGGAGAAGGCCCCGGAGTGCGAGAACATGACGGGTGCCTTTGCGACTTTGAGCACATCGCGCATTGTCTGCGGCGAGACGTGGGATAAGTCGACGAGCATGCCTAGTCTGTTCATCTCCTGGACCAGGTTGTGGCCGAGAGAGGACAGTCCCCGGTCGATCTCGCCGGCTGCTACGGAGGTTGCCGACGTGGCAAAGGGGGTATCGCAGTTGTGAGTCAATGTGAGGTAGCGGGCTCCGAGGCTGTACATTTGTCGAAGGGTGGCGATGGAGTTTCCGATCTGGTGGCTTCCCTGGATGTTTCGAAGAGAGATTGTCAACGCACAAGAGAACCAAGGGGATGTATCGTATAGAAACGAATAGTAGACCTACCTCGATTCCAATCATGCTAGCAATCTTGCCAGATGCAAATGCGGATCGAACACAGGCTGCATCGCCGCAAAACTGTAAGTCGTTGGGGTGCTTTGCGATAAGACGCCCAACGACGTCGATCTGTTCGAGCGTGTCGCGGACTACCCACTAAGATTATTTAGTACCAAAAGAGGGAAAGAATATGTTCGGATTTTGGGACTTCAGTAAAAGTGAAAACCTACAGTTGGATCGTCTAGTTGTGGTACACCATCGCTTTTGCATTCAACAAAGACACTCCAAAACTGCCCGCCCATCTGACCAGAACGCATCTTGCCCAAGTCTGTATGGCTCAGCAGATGACCTCTAAAGTCAAACCGTGGGTTGTAGATTTTGTTCTTCAGCTCCTGACGAATAACGTATGGGAGGTCATTGTGGCCATCGATCAACGGCGTTGTCGATAGGACTTGTCGTGTCCGTCCCATATAGTCATCCGCTCGGAGTTGTGGTGTGAATGGGAGCACTCGGCTAAACAAGGAGATTGAAACAGCGAAAAGACCTAGTATACCGGAATAAAAGTACTTGCTGAACCCATTCTGTCCTCTGTTCCGGACAACTAATGCGCGCGATTCTGATGCAGCAGTGTCATTCTGAGTGCTGGAGTCTGCGGATCGCTCCTCCGGGGGCAGCTCTGCATGTGCACTGGTATCTGACATGATTGGCTATTTTCGAAAGAATGAAGCGGCTGAATTGTAAGATTTTGTTGTTATCCTTTGCGTTTTTGAGTTGGTGAACTATTTTCTATAAGCCTCCACTCTTTTTCACCTTCCTTTTCCGTCTCGCCGAGTCAACTAAAATCCGTCGACCGGCCATGGCAGCGATGATCATTTTATTTACGAAGTCAGCTTTGAAAATAATGAGAATTAATTGAGGTGGAATGTTCTAAGCAAGAATAAATATTCTTGGGGTTTGGAACCTCTGCCTTTGAGAATGGCCCAGTGTGGAGGACTACTATATGATTTCATGACACGGTGCCCCAAATTCAGGTTTGTTGAAAAACACACCGTATCACATCTTGGAAGAACCAGTGTAAGAATAAGTCATAGTTTATGTTGTGAATGTGTGTGAGTAAGTCGGGCAGAAGTCTAGTATATCGAGGTCCGATATGATTTATGATAGTGAGGCAGTCAACCAACTAACGTTTTGCCGGAAGCATCCGAATTTACCAGCCAATATTGCCCAGTATTCGAGGAGAAATCTGACATTGGATCCTGGCCGCAAATCTAATTCTTGCCTTGTTATATGTTGGTTCGTAGGTCACTACGTGCCTTGAATAGAGAAAGATAATCAAGTGACGGGGCACTTCACACTAAGGAATCATTTATGTCGGCATGTATGCGGAAATAGAGTGGTAATCATATTGAATTTGTATAATTGAGTGAAACATGGTATATGGCTATCGCTAAGACAGAAAACTACTCGAAACACTTCTAACCTATGCATGCTCTACATTTACTGCGCTCCCCTTTCCAAGATCCGCCTCGACCGCAAACTGGGCCTGCAGAATCTCCCTCTCCTCCTGCGCGGAGCTGTCGTTGAAGACATCGTCCATCTGCTCCAGGGTTTTGCCCTTGGTCTCGGGGACTAAGAAGTAAGCCCAAGCCACGGCAATGTAGCACCACGCGCCAAAGAAGATGTAGGTTCCGTAGCCGATCTGCTCGAGCATGGGGGGCGTGGCGATGCCGACGATGAAGTTGCAGATCCAGACTGTTGCGGTGGCGAGGGCTACACCCTTGGATCGGCTCGCGTTGGGGTAGACCTCGGCGGGGAGGGCCCATCCGAGACAAGAGTAGGAGACGCCGTAGATGAGGACGAAGAGGAAGGCCATGGCTGCGGCGGCCCAGCCGGCGGCAGGGTTGGCGGACCAATCGTGAGAGTATAAGCCGGAAAGGATGGCCATGACGGTCCACGCGATGCCACCGCCAAGGGCACCCCAGATGGCTAGAGGTCGACGGCCGACCTTGTCGATGATGGTGAAGCAGGCTATGACGGCGACGAGCTGGAGAACATTGAAGACACCAGACATAACGAGTGACATTTCTTCGCTCTGGCCTAAAGACTGGAACAAAGTTGGTGCGTAGTAGATGAAACCATTGATGCCCGAAAACTGCTGGAAGAAGGCGATGCCGACTGCAACGTAGGTTCGGCGCAGGGTTGGGCCGCGGAAGAGATCGAGCCAGCCTAGGAGTTCGAGCTGGAACCAACTCTTTCCGGGATGCTTCTTCGACTGGACGGCGCGCTGAACTCTCACTTCGGTCATGATACCGACATGTTCAGCCTGGATGCGTGAGTCGGTGGGAGGGAGACGGCGGAGGCGTTCGAGAGACTTGAGAGCATCATCGGATCGGTCGACGAGGGCGAGCCATCGGGGAGAGTAGGGGAAGAAGAGGATACCGATGCCGAGGAGGGTAGATCCAACCATCTGTAGACCGAAAGGAAGACGGAAGGCAATCTCACCCTCCATATGGCGAGTACCGTATGTAATGAAGAAGGATATTACTACTCCAGAGACGATCGAGATGGATTCGAGGACAAGAAGGGTACCACGCAAGTTGGGAGGCGCGACTTCAGAAATGTAGATCGGTGCACCCTAAATTAATGAAGCCACAATGGTCAGATAACGTTGCTAAGTAAGAAGGAGATTTTCTCTGGTTTTCGTATTCGCGCAGTCTGCGCTGAGGACTTACCATAGCAAGAGTTCCAACTCCAATACCGCCGATCGTTCTACCAGCAACCAACACTTCGTAGTTGGGTGCGGCGGTTTGCATGATAGCACCAATGTTGAAGATGACAACGACGAAGACAAGAGCCTTTTTCCGAGAGATCTTGTCGGCAAGAGCAGGCATGAAGATACAACCGATGAAGGCGCCAAGCTCCAACATAGCCGTCATCAGACTCTTACCAAAGGCGGTTTCAGCACGAGGGAAAACAGCATGGAACTGAGACATGACATTGATGATGGAGATAACACCCTGGTCATAGCCAAAGGAGAAGCCTCCGAGGGAGGCCAGGAGAGCGGCTCCGCAAACATATGGCGAATCGAGGACACCCATGATGCCGTTGCGGCCGTATGAGACATCTTCGGATGGGTTGAATGAGATGATTGGGGCCTGTTGATCGGGGTTTTCGACATTCTCCACGGAGGGCCGCTCCGCGTTGGTGGCCTTTTTGGACAAGCCGCCAGCCATGGTGATTAGGTATGACTGTTGACCAAAACAAAGAGAGTGATCTGAAACGTAGATGAAAGGGTTAGGTACGTTGTCTCTAATCGACTTGATCGAAGTGTTTTGGAACTAAGAGACGGACTGTGAGGGGGGGGGAGGAGGCTGCTACTTATAGTAAATTT